GGGGGGGGGGGTCATCCCAAAAAATGACCGCTATAAGGAGGGGCCATGTGAAAAAATTGGTAAGCTGAGGGGGGGTCATGCGATTTTTAAACGGTGCTTCCCAAATCCCACCAGCCCCCCCTCCCTCATAAAAAATGAACGGTCCCTAAGCTATCAAGGCAAATGAACTCATAACATAACCAGCTCCCAGTTTGCTTGATAGCTTGGTTGGTAGAGCACTGAACCAATATCGCAGAGGTCATGGGTTCGAATCCCGTTCAAGCCTGAATTTTTGTCAGGCTTCAATTTCACAGCAAGTTACTTTTAAAATAGTTCAGTTTAAAGTTAGGCTAGCCTATTCCTTTTTAAAATCTCCACCGAGAGACAAGAGGATTACACCGGAGCCTTACCTGCCAAGCACCAATAGAGTTGGCGGGTTGCGCAAAAGGCCGCTGGAAAATGCGGCACATCTTGAAAGCATCTGTTCGTATCTCTATCACATTGTTAAGCAACGCCCAGAAGGCGGCCATAGGATAGGCAGACGAGAACAGGAACGTGTAACCAAACTGAAGGAACAGCTCCAGATAGTCGTCAAATGTGCCCTGTATCAGAAAATAAAGACATTATTTTGTTAGTTCCTATAAATATTTCAAAAAATTATAGTATTATCATCATCATTATCATTCGGCTGCAGCGCAGGCAACGGTTAGCCTTTCTCGACCATTGCTATCGCCAGAAAGATGACGATCTAACTTGGAGACAAAAGCCCACACTCCTTGTTCCTCCAGCATAAACTCCTCGGGGATAATCTACGTCTACATTTATTGAAACTATATACAGTTATCACGCTAACCTTAACATAAGAATTGCAAAATGTCGAATGTAATGGGATAAGGAGGGGATCATAGGAAGATTCGTCCCCAGTGGTCTCACGAGAGATTCAAAGAACGGGCCAAAGTCGAAGGAGTCTCAATGAATTTTGTCAGAATGAAACTCCTCAAGGACACGGAGGGTAACATGGGAAGGCTCGTTCCCAGTTTTCTCTTGGGAGGTCCATTGAAAGGCGAAAGTCAACGGAGTCTGCATGAAACTCCTTGGGGATTCGAAGAGGCTTCCCCTATGTTCAATAGTCTCCTCCGCAGTTTCATTGGGGGAGCGTTGCGTGACATTCCAAAAAACGACTGCGTAAAAGACTATATGATCAATGGATCTCCCAAGAAACAACTCGGGACGAGTCACTGTATAGAACTTCAGTGCAGAAGTAACAGCCAATCCTGCAATTTATAAAACGTTCCTACTGGCTAAAAACTGTTATAGCCATGTGCCTATGTTCTACAGTTTTGGCACAAGTAAGACCCACATTAAAATAAGGGCAGTCCCTATTTTCCTTTAGGTGTTGTGAGAGAAAGTAAAAGTCTTGAGCGAGAGGAAAAGATCACCGTGTGAAGACGCGAGATCATTTCTCGTTATTTTCAGCTCTAGTTCGGGCCTTTTCTCTCGCTCGACGATCTAACAGAAAATAGAATGTTCACTAAATCAAGGTGTGAGTGAAATTACTCACTAAGTACTTTTCCTGAGTTCCCTGCCGTTCAATGTCATCTGACAAGTCAGCTGTCTTCATCACAATCTTCTTTCCCTCCTTGGCGACTTTGGTGATGCGACTTCTGTACATGATGTAAGGAATAAGTGACTCTGTGACTTGCCCAATCAGCTGGGACGTGATCATCAGAGCACCCAGGTGCTGCATCGTAAATAGAATGTACTATTAGAACACAAGATCATTATACTAAACGTGCCATTAGAAGACATGTTCGCACAACTGAACGTATCATTAGAAAACATGATAATTTAACATCATCATTACACTGAATATACCATTGGAACACATGATCGTAGAACTGAACATATCAGTAGAAAGCATGATTATAAACTGAAACGTACCATTAGAACATGACCGTCCAACTGAACATACCATAAGAAAACATGATCATTACACTGAACACACCATTAGAACACCTGATCACACATTTCTTTAAAACGTTGCATTGCGTCTTTTAATTGTTTAAATGAATGAAAATTAGAGTCCAAAATTGAATCAAATATTAAATAGATTTGTGTCCATAATCCATGCACGCAAAATGCTACATAAATACACTATTTTTGCATTGAAACGGTTTGCATATAAAACGTTGGACCACTTTTCCAAACACCGAGAAGAGCAATGAAAATATGATGTAAAGTGCAATATTTTTGAGGAACTTAAAGGTGTTTGGAGATGTGGTTAAACACGGTCTTGAGTGTTTGATATTCTGGTACTGCCTTAACCTTGTTATTTACAGTTTTCATATATATTTTTTTCATATTAGGAAGGTTAATGTTGCAGTTCCTAGAGAGTAATGCTTTAAATACCCCGACAATCACAAGCAATAAACACACATTCTATGGCGTAAAGGGGGGAAACACCGCTCCGCAATCGGCTTGACAGACGAACTTCCATTGCGTGACCAAATGCCAAACTTATCTCCCCAGCGGTTAATTCTACACTGGATCGGACAAGTCGGCGAGGCCAAAAGCTTTATACGCGTGCTAGAGAGAGGCCTAACTCTAAACGGCACTACCAGCTGACCTCCGGTCAGCATAGTGCTAGAGTGTAGACAGTTCTCAAGCATTACTTATCTCCCCAGAACTAAGAGCCGACTCCGCCGGCACGTGCTGGATCGGACAAGAAGAGGCATAAAAGAGCGTTAAATAGCGCCACTAAATTAGCGAAAACGAAGCTTGGTGAAGTCGCTGCAAGACTTAACCGATAGCGTGTCACGAGAAGTGAACCCCAGTTTATTATTTATATTAATGAACAACAACAATAAACCTCCAAAGGGAGGGAAGGGTGGGAGTTACAATTTCGAGGGCTAACTAAAAGTTACAGTAGTGATATAACGAGCGAATGATGCTTAAGTCCAAGCTAAGACTCTTTTATAGGTAGACAAATGTCTGGGTTTGGACCAATATAAAATCGTGTACCATGACAAGTACAGAGCCCATGCGGCCTTGAACGAAACAAGAATAAGGCTAATTAAAAGACTAGCCATACAAAACGCATGATATAGTTAAACCAGACGTTGTTGCGACATGCATGCGTGAAAGGCTATTGTGAATATTGTTTAAACTAGACAAGAAAGACTTATATAACGCGTAACAGTTCTATTGCGTTACGTTTAACAATAGTAAGCTAGTAACTGTACGTAAATAGCATCACGCTCCATTAACTGCGCTTTAACGATTAACTTTAAAGCTTTACTACAGTTTTGACGACTGATGGCACAAAACAACCAAGGAAATGTTATAACCGCTGATTACTTACCCTACGTAAAAGTTCAATGTCTTGTAGGTAAAATGCAATGTAGAAAAGTGAGTAGAAACAGTTCACAAAATAGAACTAGAAATAAGGAAGAGAAGAAGTATTTTTGGTTGATTAAATCTTTTAAATCACAACAACACAGTCTTACAAGATAACCATAATCAATAGTAATTTTGAGCGCTTCCCAAAAATAAATAAAAGGATAGATATCAACGTACTCGCAGATAACATAACCCATAGAGTGAAGGTGGGGAAGTGTTTTCCCATACATTCCCACCCTCTAAAATAACGTTTGGTTCTTAGGCTCCTTATATTCATGAACAATCCCCAAGTACCAGGGATTTCCTCAGGAGGTTCCCTAGAGGGCATCCCAGAATTGCCGAGTATGAGTTAGTACACTGCATTTCCCACTGGTGTATACAACTGTCATATTGTTTAACAGTGATTTTGATACTCACAAGAACCAGTTTAACAATCAGGTGGTTGTTATAAGCAGACTCTATCCGATGATTTTCTGGAAGAAAACAAAAGAAAAGACACTGGATTGATGCTTTGAAATTTAAATGTCCCGCAACTCAATTATTACCAATTGGCAAAAATATGCAGTTTAATAATATATCCCAACACTTAGAAAGACCCTTGAAAATTCTGAGGGGGGAGGGGGGAGGGGGCGCAACCCAAAGTTTTAAAGGAAAGTATGAAACTAAACTGGAATTTTCAGAGGGGTGAGGGTATGGATGCTTCTAGACAAACAATGAGGAAGTACAGTTATTAAAAGAACTGCTGTACTGCAATGGTAAGAGCTGGTTCTATTGTCAACTTATAATTGAAAGTTAATAAATAACAAACAAAAAAAACAAGACAAAAATGTCAATGAGTTTAAATTACAGAATTAACCCTATTTCCAGACCCTATTTCCAGACTCTCCTTCTACCCCAAGAATGAATGAAATATCCTGGAAACGAACTTGATGTACAAGTCTTGTTTCAACTCACCCCATTGAGTCAGGAATGTTGCCAGCCTGAGGTACAGGTTATTCATCACAGCAATCGCCACTGCATAGATAATACTTGGTAACAGCAGCATGACAGTGGCAACAATTCCACTAGCATTGGCGTACTTGGTCTCAATGGCATCAAGAAAGCGAAAATATAAAAGTACAACTGCTGTGGCCACCCACATGCACAAAAACACAATGGGATATGAGACACCATATGTTTTGACCTTTCTTTTCCATGGTGGGTAATAGTACTCCTGTTGCCCTGTGATGGGGCTTATGCGCTTCTCACCCCAGTAAGTCGAGCGTGGCTCCTCAACTTCTTCTGTACCTGATGTGAGAAAATTAATACATTACAGATACAGTCAACTCCAACTTTACAAATTCCTTGCTACTACTAACCTGCTAGTTCAGGCATGTGCATTTTGGGGTAGTCTTAGCACAATAGTCTAATGGGTTTGATAGATTTTACTAGTTATTTTTAAGACAAAAAAAACCAAAGAAAACTTTCCCTTTCAAGGGCAACATGTATATTATGTTCCTACCAGTGAATAAACAATGACAAGAGAACCAGTCTGATTCAAGGATTCCAAAAGAACACATATTTAGAGTCTACTAATTAAATATTACAAAATTATGACAGGGTCAGTTTATAGTACCAACGCACCTATGCCTGCCTTAAGAGTGCCCCACTTGAACGAGATTTCAGAACAGCGTCGTTTCCATGCTTCTAAGAACACAGTTCCCCAGACTAGATTCAAAATAGCAAACACTGTATTTTTGGTCTGCTCATGTGCTCCAGACAAAGCAAACACAACAACCAGGAGAACTGGTGGAACAAGCGACAATGAGTAGAAACCCAAGAAGCCAAAGTACATTGCTATAGTGTCTCCAAAGTACTCTCGTATGTCATCTGTAAGAGAAATTGGTAGTGAAGAGTAAAGAGACAAAATTAAACATGTATTAGCAGGGGTAGATACAGGATTTTTCTTCGGAGGGGGTGCACCACTAAGTAATGGCATAAACTGACTGGTGAGGTAAACAAATTTTAAATGCAAATATTAAGAAGAAGGCTTTATCTCAAGGGGGGGGGGGTGTGCACCCCCTGCAACCTACCCTAAGATCCAACCCTGATTAGGTAGAGGAAGATAGGGGGTTAGAAGTTCTTGGTGAAATTTTCTGTCCACATTCTGGATCTGGTACCCTTCCCTTCTCTCTTCCAGATTTTAATATGAAGCATGAACCTAAATAAATGCAAATTGTGCCTTTGTAGACTCTCATAGCTTTGACGCCCCCCTCATCCACCCATCCCATCCCTCCATTCTAAAAATATGACTAACCACCAATAGTTTGGCTTTTGCTCAGTTGATGTTTGCACAACTGTACATACAATTGAAACTGCATACATTACAACCTCTATCCATTAAGATGTCCCCAGGAAAATGAGAAGTGTCCTGATTCAAGGTGTCCCCTTAATTAAGGTCATACATGTGAGTCAGAGTACAACATGTGAGTACATGTGACTCATGTGAGTCATCTGACACAGATTTATACAAACACAAAGTGACATAAAATAATATTATTGTCTTTTTTAAGGATGGGCCCCCTCAATGGACGAGTCCCAGAGTGGAAGACACTCTGACTTTCACAAACGAAAGAATTGCTAACATCTGCATCTTTTGGTCATGTTACTTTATACAGTATTTTCTGACAGTAAGAATGTGGACATGACAAGTTACACTTAAAACTTTCAAAAAATTGATTACCTAGAGGTTGTTTCCTAGAGAAGCTAAGATACCACTTATGCTCCAGAGCTTTGAGTTTGTCAGGATCATGCAGAGGAAAGATCTGAGTAACAACTCCACTGGAGACACACCTTGGAACTTAAAAACAAACAATATTAGCATGTAATTTGCAAGTCATAAATAACTCAGTCATTAAATAAGTACTTATTTGTCTATCTTTTGTTCTAACTCATATGAATTATTATTTGCAGTGTTCTTAAGACATTTGGTGGGGGTCTGAAGAGAGCAAGATTATGGGATACAAATATCTCTTTAGTTGAACTGGATGACTGTCTGTCTGTGGAACTGACCGTCATTTATGTAGTTGGTCGGTTATTTATTCAGTCATTCAGTCAGGAAAGTAGTCAGTCAGTCATTTTCTTTTGAAGAAACTACTTGGCCTGCTGGATTAATACCTCAGAGACTCCCTTATTAGCTTAGATGAAGCATCTATTCAGGACTGGTGTTTAACCAATGGGATTTGTGATACTATCTAGTTGGCCTGGGTGGTTGAGTCATAAGTTGGTTGTAGTGGGTCGTGGATTGTGCATGCTGGGTTGTGGGTCATGGGTACAAACTTAACCCACAATGGCTTCCAAAACCATAATAAGGTCTATTCCCACTTAACTGATGTACCAATTCAATGATAGTGCACTGTTTTGATGTTTTTCATTTCAACAAACAATAGGCATCACCACTCGATTTATGATTGTCATTATGCAGAACTTAGAAAATCTGTGAAGTTTCATAAGAATCCATTCCAAACTCATGAAAATATAAGATGGATCATGATCCATGATGCACAATGCACAATGCATGACACACAAAGAACAACCCACAACAAATGACAAATCACCCACGTGGTTTAGGGCGTTTTCCATTTACAAAAAATTTCGGAAAATTTCTGTTGGGAATTTCCATTTGGGAAAAGCGTGTTCCATTTGTCACAAGTCCCATTCATTCACTGGCCCCTCTCTGTCGCTTCTCTGAATCTCCCGCAAATATTCAAAATGGAGGCCAATGAGGCCAATCAGATGTTGTTTTTGTGCAAAATGTTAGAAGTCTCTATAGAGGAAGAAAGTTTGATTAATTCAGAAGATGATGCAGTAGATATCTTTTCAGCGCCCTCTACGTTCATGAGACGGAATTTGCAACGAACGAACTGAAGGCTATTTTGAACACACGTTGCCAGGATATTCACTTGGTGAGTTTAAAAGTCATTTTCGAATGACAAGAGGCACAATGGAAGGTCTGTGTAGAATCGTCCAAGCTACAGGAAGAGTGCCACAACGGCATTCATTTGGAAGACCACCAATTCCGCTCCAGAAACAAGTATTGGCGTTTGTGTGGTTTATTTCAAACCCGGAAGTTTTCTGACCCTGATCAGCCACCATTTTTGTTAAAACACGAGGGAGCCGAGAGAGTCCTGGCTGCTTAAAAGACCGCAAAAGGCACGAAACTGGTGATAAAGACGAGAAATCTGGAAATGGAACACAAATTTTCCATTGGGAAGTTTCCACCAGGAAAATGGGACTAACTTTTCAGGAATTCTGTTTATTCGGGAAAATTTCCAGTGGAACGAACCAAAAAGTCGTGTTCCATTTACATCCCACCAGAATTTCTGGAATTTTTTGGTAAATGGAAAACACTCTTAGTCTCAACTGGGATTTATTAATTATTTATAATGCACTTTTTTTCGTAAACATTTCATCGAACAGCATCAAAGCAACAAATTAAAAGTAATTTCACTGACTTTCTCTTGAACTAATAGTTAATCACATTTAAAATGGAATGTAAATTATGATAGGCCAACTTCCTAATTAGTTTCATACTGCAAATAAATGTCGGAGGGGGGAGCTTATTCAAAACTTAACCGAATTTATTCCAGCACTCAGTGTTTCCTGTGTTGATTCAATTTAATGCCTAAAGTGTTACTTTCTGTAGCTAAAGGGAGGGTGCCTATTGGAGAGAACAGAATTCTTTAAAAAAAATGGTTGGAAATGGATAAAACAATATGATACTGGTATCTCAAGAACAGTGACAACTGGGGATCTTATAGTCATGGCAGTACACCATTTACCATTTGCTTGTTCAATGTGCATAATATTGCATTCAGATGAGAAAGCAGACTACATGGTTCACTTGCCTAATCGGTCTTTTCTATGTTGATGTATTGAATGTTGCATTGATTTTGTAATTGAGCACTTATTAGAAAGCAGCTCTTTTTGGAATGAGCTCTCTGAATCGAGTCATTACTACTCTGGGTACCAGAGGATCACAACTTTGCCATGAAAAAAAATCCCTCGGGCACCCAGGGTAAGTCATTAAGGTTATCAAAGAAATACAGTGAACTTACTGGTGGCTCTGTTTCTATAAAGTTTTACATCAGGATAACCAGGAACAGTTCCATCTTCATGCGGCTTTATGTGCTCTAACCCCAGAAACACAATGTGCTCACACTCCCTCTTGGAAAAAAAGCCTTCACCATCATTAGCAAAGTCTTTAAACTCGTGACACAATTCTACGCAGAAGTCAACGGCAGCTCCGTTCTTGAGGCACCTTTTAAGTTTGAGTTTCTCAGCACCAACAAGAAGACGCTTGGTATCAGCGGAAATGTGCAGAGTGTCGCAATTCTTTAAGGAATTTGGAACCAACTTGACTTTGAATCCAGCTCCTCCACTACTGACTAGTTACAGGAAAATGATACAAGAGAAGATTGGTCAAAATCTAATTTTTCCAACTATTTATTTAAACTATTTCCTTTTATTTGAACTGTACTTTGGTCTTACTCTTTCCCAACAATCCATGCATGCAAGACCTCTAGATATGGATTTCAATACAATAAGCACTACAAACCCCTGGTCCCTCTATTTAACAAATGGTAAATGCCATAGCGTGTACTATTGAGTTATGGATGCGCACGGGAGGTCGCTAAGCACGAGAGAAGCGTAAGAGTCACACGAGGCGATAGCTTAATATGAAGCATGAACCTAAATAAATGCAAATAGTGTGCCTTTGTAGACTCTCATAGCTTTGACGTCCCCCCTCCCCCACCCATCCCATCCCTCCCTTCTAAAAATATGACTAACCACCAATAGATTGGCTTTTGTTCAGTTGATGTTTGCACAACTGTACATACAACTGAAACTGCATACATTACAACCTCTATCCATTAAGATGTCCCCAAGAAAATGAGAAGTGTCCTGATACAAGGTGTCCCCTTAATTAAGGTAATACATGTGAGTCAGAGTACAACATATGAGTACATGTGACTCATGTGAGTAATCTGACACAGATTTATACAAACACAAAGTGACATAAAATAATGCTATTGTCTTTTTTAAGGATGGGCCCCCTCAATGGACGAGTCCCAGAGTGGAAGACACTCTGACTTTCACAAACGAAAGAATTGCTAACATCTGCATCTTTTGGTCATGTTACTTTATACAGTATTTTCTGACAGTAAGAATGTGGACATGACAAGTTACACTTAAAACTTTCAAAAAATTGATTACCTAGAGGTTGTTTCCTAGAGAAGCTAAGATACCACTTATGCTCCAGAGCTTTGAGTTTGTCAGGATCATGCAGAGGAAAGATCTGAGTAACAACTCCACTGGAGACACACCTTGGAACTTAAAAACAAACAATATTAGCATGTAATTTGCAAGTCATAAATAACTCAGTCATTAAATAAGTACTTATTTGTCTATCTTTTGTTCTAACTCATATGAATTATTATTTGCAGTGTTCTTAAGACATTTGGTGGGGGTCTGAAGAGAGCAAGATTATGGGATACAAATATCTCTTTAGTTGAACTGGATGACTGTCTGTCTGTGGAACTGACCGTCATTTATGTAGTTGGTCGGTTATTTATTCAGTCATTCAGTCAGGAAAGTAGTCAGTCAGTCATTTTCTTTTGAAGAAACTACTTGGCCTGCTGGATTAATACCTCAGAGACTCCCTTATTAGCTTAGATGAAGCATCTATTCAGGACTGGTGTTTAACCAATGGGATTTGTGATACTATCTAGTTGGCCTAGGTGGTTGAGTCATAAGTTGGTTGTAGTGGGTCGTGGATTGTGCATGCTGGGTTGTGGGTCATGGGTACAAACTTAACCCACAATGGCTTCCAAAACCATAATAAGGTCTATTCCCACTTAACTGATGTACCAATTCAATGATAGTGCACTGTTTTGATGTTTTTCATTTCAACAAACAATAGGCATCACCACTCGATTTATGATTGTCATTATGCAGAACTTAGAAAATCTGTGAAGTTTCATAAGAATCCATTCCAAACTCATGAAAATATAAGATGGATCATGATCCATGATGCACAATGCACAATGCATGACACACAAAGAACAACCCACAACAAATGACAAATCACCCACGTGGTTTAGGGCGTTTTCCATTTACAAAAAATTTCGGAAAATTTCTGTTGGGAATTTCCATTTGGGAAAAGCGTGTTCCATTTGTCACAAGTCCCATTCATTCACTGGCCCCTCTCTGTCGCTTCTCTGAATCTCCCGCAAATATTCAAAATGGAGGCCAATGAGGCCAATCAGATGTTGTTTTTGTGCAAAATGTTAGAAGTCTCTATAGAGGAAGAAAGTTTGATTAATTCAGAAGATGATGCAGTAGATATCTTTTCAGCGCCCTCTACGTTCATGAGACGGAATTTGCAACGAACGAACTGAAGGCTATTTTGAACACACGTTGCCAGGATATTCACTTGGTGAGTTTAAAAGTCATTTTCGAATGACAAGAGGCACAATGGAAGGTCTGTGTAGAATCGTCCAAGCTACAGGAAGAGTGCCACAACGGCATTCATTTGGAAGACCACCAATTCCGCTCCAGAAACAAGTATTGGCGTTTGTGTGGTTTATTTCAAACCCGGAAGTTTTCTGACCCTGATCAGCCACCATTTTTGTTAAAACACGAGGGAGCCGAGAGAGTCCTGGCTGCTTAAAAGACCGCAAAAGGCACGAAACTGGTGATAAAGACGAGAAATCTGGAAATGGAACACAAATTTTCCATTGGGAAGTTTCCACCAGGAAAATGGGACTAACTTTTCAGGAATTCTGTTTATTCGGGAAAATTTCCAGTGGAACGAACCAAAAAGTCGTGTTCCATTTACATCCCACCAGAATTTCTGGAATTTTTTGGTAAATGGAAAACACTCTTAGTCTCAACTGGGATTTATTAATTATTTATAATGCACTTTTTTTCGTAAACATTTCATCGAACAGCATCAAAGCAACAAATTAAAAGTAATTTCACTGACTTTCTCTTGAACTAATAGTTAATCACATTTAAAATGGAATGTAAATTATGATAGGCCAACTTCCTAATTAGTTTCATACTGCAAATAAATGTCGGAGGGGGGAGCTTATTCAAAACTTAACCGAATTTATTCCAGCACTCAGTGTTTCCTGTGTTGATTCAATTTAATGCCTAAAGTGTTACTTTCTGTAGCTAAAGGGAGGGTGCCTATTGGAGAGAACAGAATTCTTTAAAAAAAATGGTTGGAAATGGATAAAACAATATGATACTGGTATCTCAAGAACAGTGACAACTGGGGATCTTATAGTCATGGCAGTACACCATTTACCATTTGCTTGTTCAATGTGCATAATATTGCATTCAGATGAGAAAGCAGACTACATGGTTCACTTGCCTAATCGGTCTTTTCTATGTTGATGTATTGAATGTTGCATTGATTTTGTAATTGAGCACTTATTAGAAAGCAGCTCTTTTTGGAATGAGCTCTCTGAATCGAGTCATTACTACTCTGGGTACCAGAGGATCACAACTTTGCCATGAAAAAAAATCCCTCGGGCACCCAGGGTAAGTCATTAAGGTTATCAAAGAAATACAGTGAACTTACTGGTGGCTCTGTTTCTATAAAGTTTTACATCAGGATAACCAGGAACAGTTCCATCTTCATGCGGCTTTATGTGCTCTAACCCCAGAAACACAATGTGCTCACACTCCCTCTTGGAAAAAAAGCCTTCACCATCATTAGCAAAGTCTTTAAACTCGTGACACAATTCTACGCAGAAGTCAACGGCAGCTCCGTTCTTGAGGCACCTTTTAAGTTTGAGTTTCTCAGCACCAACAAGAAGACGCTTGGTATCAGCGGAAATGTGCAGAGTGTCGCAATTCTTTAAGGAATTTGGAACCAACTTGACTTTGAATCCAGCTCCTCCACTACTGACTAGTTACAGGAAAATGATACAAGAGAAGATTGGTCAAAATCTAATTTTTCCAACTATTTATTTAAACTATTTCCTTTTATTTGAACTGTACTTTGGTCTTACTCTTTCCCAACAATCCATGCATGCAAGACCTCTAGATATGGATTTCAATACAATAAGCACTACAAACCCCTGGTCCCTCTATTTAACAAATGGTAAATGCCATAGCGTGTACTATTGAGTTATGGATGCGCACGGGAGGTCGCTAAGCACGAGAGAAGCGTAAGAGTCACACGAGGCGATAGCTTAATATGAAGCATGAACCTAAATAAATGCAAATAGTGTGCCTTTGTAGACTCTCATAGCTTTGACGTCCCCCCTCCCCCACCCATCCCATCCCTCCCTTCTAAAAATATGACTAACCACCAATAGATTGGCTTTTGTTCAGTTGATGTTTGCACAACTGTACATACAACTGAAACTGCATACATTACAACCTCTATCCATTAAGATGTCCCCAAGAAAATGAGAAGTGTCCTGATACAAGGTGTCCCCTTAATTAAGGTAATACATGTGAGTCAGAGTACAACATATGAGTACATGTGACTCATGTGAGTAATCTGACACAGATTTATACAAACACAAAGTGACATAAAATAATGCTATTGTCTTTTTTAAGGATGGGCCCCCTCAATGGACGAGTCCCAGAGTGGAAGACACTCTGACTTTCACAAACGAAAGAATTGCTAACATCTGCATCTTTTGGTCATGTTACTTTATACAGTATTTTCTGACAGTAAGAATGTGGACATGACAAGTTACACTTAAAACTTTCAAAAAATTGATTACCTAGAGGTTGTTTCCTAGAGAAGCTAAGATACCACTTATGCTCCAGAGCTTTGAGTTTGTCAGGATCATGCAGAGGAAAGATCTGAGTAACAACTCCACTGGAGACACACCTTGGAACTTAAAAACAAACAATATTAGCATGTAATTTGCAAGTCATAAATAACTCAGTCATTAAATAAGTACTTATTTGTCTATCTTTTGTTCTAACTCATATGAATTATTATTTGCAGTGTTCTTAAGACATTTGGTGGGGGTCTGAAGAGAGCAAGATTATGGGATACAAATATCTCTTTAGTTGAACTGGATGACTGTCTGTCTGTGGAACTGACCGTCATTTATGTAGTTGGTCGGTTATTTATTCAGTCATTCAGTCAGGAAAGTAGTCAGTCAGTCATTTTCTTTTGAAGAAACTACTTGGCCTGCTGGATTAATACCTCAGAGACTCCCTTATTAGCTTAGATGAAGCATCTATTCAGGACTGGTGTTTAACCAATGGGATTTGTGATACTATCTAGTTGGCCTAGGTGGTTGAGTCATAAGTTGGTTGTAGTGGGTCGTGGATTGTGCATGCTGGGTTGTGGGTCATGGGTACAAACTTAACCCACAATGGCTTCCAAAACCATAATAAGGTCTATTCCCACTTAACTGATGTACCAATTCAATGATAGTGCACTGTTTTGATGTTTTTCATTTCAACAAACAATAGGCATCACCACTCGATTTATGATTGTCATTATGCAGAACTTAGAAAATCTGTGAAGTTTCATAAGAATCCATTCCAAACTCATGAAAATATAAGATGGATCATGATCCATGATGCACAATGCACAATGCATGACACACAAAGAACAACCCACAACAAATGACAAATCACCCACGTGGTTTAGGGCGTTTTCCATTTACAAAAAATTTCGGAAAATTTCTGTTGGGAATTTCCATTTGGGAAAAGCGTGTTCCATTTGTCACAAGTCCCATTCATTCACTGGCCCCTCTCTGTCGCTTCTCTGAATCTCCCGCAAATATTCAAAATGGAGGCCAATGAGGCCAATCAGATGTTGTTTTTGTGCAAAATGTTAGAAGTCTCTATAGAGGAAGAAAGTTTGATTAATTCAGAAGATGATGCAGTAGATATCTTTTCAGCGCCCTCTACGTTCATGAGACGGAATTTGCAACGAACGAACTGAAGGCTATTTTGAACACACGTTGCCAGGATATTCACTTGGTGAGTTTAAAAGTCATTTTCGAATGACAAGAGGCACAATGGAAGGTCTGTGTAGAATCGTCCAAGCTACAGGAAGAGTGCCACAACGGCATTCATTTGGAAGACCACCAATTCCGCTCCAGAAACAAGTATTGGCGTTTGTGTGGTTTATTTCAAACCCGGAAGTTTTCTGACCCTGATCAGCCACCATTTTTGTTAAAACACGAGGGAGCCGAGAGAGTCCTGGCTGCTTAAAAGACCGCAAAAGGCACGAAACTGGTGATAAAGACGAGAAATCTGGAAATGGAACACAAATTTTCCATTGGGAAGTTTCCACCAGGAAAATGGGACTAACTTTTCAGGAATTCTGTTTATTCGGGAAAATTTCCAGTGGAACGAACCAAAAAGTCGTGTTCCATTTACATCCCACCAGAATTTCTGGAATTTTTTGGTAAATGGAAAACACTCTTAGTCTCAACTGGGATTTATTAATTATTTATAATGCACTTTTTTTCGTAAACATTTCATCGAACAGCATCAAAGCAACAAATTAAAAGTAATTTCACTGACTTTCTCTTGAACTAATAGTTAATCACATTTAAAATGGAATGTAAATTATGATAGGCCAACTTCCTAATTAGTTTCATACTGCAAATAAATGTCGGAGGGGGGAGCTTATTCAAAACTTAACCGAATTTATTCCAGCACTCAGTGTTTCCTGTGTTGATTNACGCAAAAATTCATTCATGACAACCGACTGCACACCAGCAACTCGAAAAAGTTTCATCTTCAGACAAATGTGGAGACAGTTTCGCATTTCTGGTAGAAGGACATCGGTCATTACTTTGGAAACAATGTCTGTCAAAAGATTTGCTTTGTAAACATTAGCACACACGTCAGCAGCATACACCCATGGGCAAATAGTAGATGCTAAATTAACCAATCAGAGTGCGCGCTTTGCTTTAGTTATGTTATAATCCTAACTAGAGTCAGTTGTTCCCAACTTAAAAATATTCTTAGAGTTATAAGAATTACACCTGGAGCTTTGATAAGTGCCGTCAGCCATTCTTTAGTCTCAGCTGGAGCTTTAGGTGAGAACTCAAGCACTACAAGAGTGTCATCTGAATTCTGTGATCCAACCTTGGATTCCTCGACTGCTACATTCCTTGCTTCACCACTCATAGTGATGCACTACTTCACTGAAATCACAAAGCCAACACCAAATGTCTTGCTTTCATGGAACTCATTAAAATGGAAAGCAATTTATTTAGAGTTATAAATCATTTTGTTCTATACCTGCCAAATTTCTCCAATGCAAAGGCGCAAGATTTTCTCTACTGGAAGTGTGAGGATTTTGGAAGACTACTCGACAGTTGCTAAACTCTTCTGAACAATTACTGAGGACATTCTCAGCAATTCTGAAGACTTTTCAAACATATCTTGGTCCCAGCCCCAGGATGTGTTTTGCCAAACATAACATTGCTTCAGACAAAATTGAAGAACTGGAGAAAATGCAGTAAAAATTGTAATAGCTCATTTTTTTCAGCTCAACTTGAGAAGCTGGTGCATTAAGGCATGAGTAGGTTTGGGATCAAAGTTTTCAACCCCCACTGAGCATGAAACTCATCCCTAGGGTGTGAGTTGACATTTGTTCTGTTTTCTCCACAGACAAATTTGGGTCTCTGCAGTACTTAAGTGGAGATGTGAAAACTGTGCAGTATTTACTATTATCAAAGCAAAATTGTTTATCAAGTAAGTATTGTTTCCATAATTATCAATTTCTTTTTCCAACATACACCTCAACTATTTTAATTTATGCCTAGTTAGTGAATTGTAAGGGTGGGTCCAAACACTAGAATCTGGCACGAAAACAGCACCATGGCTGTGCACACTAAAAACCATATCTAGGTCTACGTACTGCTACAAAAATATGCAATTTCAACCCTTAAACTTCCAGTGAGCATCTTCTTCAGTGCAATCTAGAAGTCTCCCCCCACCCAGGATTGGAGGTCAAAGGTTTAATTAATAGCTAAATTACCTTGAAATTCATTAGTGTTGTTTAATTTATTCCTTAATACATGACACGTCATTCCCCATTAATGAACTTAGAAGTAAGGGGGACGTGCACTTAAGCTCATATTTGTCTTACCCTTTGCAAACACTTATTTTGACTTGTAGGTTAGTTTCGCGACAACAAACACTGTATGCACAATACGAACCATAATACTTAACTGACGACTGGCGAGCTAATTTCATGTTACAAGTTGACCGAGCGAGCGAAATTAGGATTAGAAATTTACCTGCTGGGTAAAAATATGACAATAACATTTGAATAGCTTTGTACGACGCTTCATAGTGATGTTCTTGATGCTAAATGATGCGAAGTTTTGAGCGTCAAAAAAAGATTGAATCTAGAATTTTGAGATCAAAGAATCAGTGCTCGGCTGGTCGTCAAGTCATTGGCATTTTAAAAAAAATCATCCATTTTACACTATATGGCCGATTTAAACAACGCTTTAACTATATGTAGACAAATGAGACAGACAAGTGAAGTATACAAACTACTTTAACAGCTCAAAATCATTCACAAAGTTGCTCACCTTTGCAGAGAAGCAGGTATCACATTCTTGGTTGGTTCCAGAAGCCGCCTTACAAAAATCCCCAACGGGGCCCTTATTGAAAACCCGAGTACTGATTACGGGGGAGGGGACAGTAAACTTGGAATAAGCGAAGCTACAAAGGGTACAGTAAGGTTAACTGTCCCGAGTATCTATTGAATCTTCTTGTGTGATGCGGATTTAAAAGCGTAAAATTTTATAATAAATGAAAATATATGAGCGAAGAGATTACGATCATAATTTAAAGTCTCTTGTATGGCCTCATCAGCGCTTTTGCCATCCAGAAATTTTGCAATTTTAAAAACCAATTTCTCCTCCAAAATCTCACCCAAGGAGACAAAAAATTCACCAGTTACAAAGTTTTTCAAGTTCTTAACATGTTTGGAGTCAATTGATGATGATTTTATTTTTAGCCTTCTGTACGTTCTAAGTCCAAAAGAAGACCAAGGTCAATGCCTTAATCTTCTCTTGGTATCTCTAATTATAATCATAAAATGCCAGAAAAATCATAATAATAATTAAAACATATTTATGCAGGATGGCTGCATCAGTTTTAAGGAAAAATTGCTATTAATGCAGGTCCTGTGTAAAAAATAAATTAATAAATAATAAATAAATAAATACAATGAAATAAAATAAGTAAAACTAGTAAAAAGTTGCATTAAAATTAAGTCACATTAAAAGGAATTATTAAAACTAGTTGCACCTTTGTAGAAAAAGGCGCGCTTGGTGCTTCTAAGCTAACTTTTTCTAAATGACGTCACAAAGATCGCCCTGCAGTACAAGAACATTACTTGCATAAATTTTCGGACGATTTCAATTTCGGACACAAAAGTGTCCGAAAATACTACCGTCGGAAATTTTGATTGTCCGAAATATTTACAGTACAGTCTAAAAAATTTTAAGTAGCTCCTAAGCTCTTAGTTTCGTTTATGAGGCAAACTCTAGTTGAGAGTTTGGAACAGAACAGCCAATAATTATCGCGTGCATCATTGCCGGACTAATCTAAAAAAAATTCACAATTCTTTACCAAGGTCCAAAGATCTGGAATAGACCAATTTCGATATATTAAAATTCAACCTAAAACAATAGACCTCAATACGAGACTCCGGGGAATAACTACAGAGTTTGTGGGGTTTATTTCCCGGAGCCTCGTGCTGAGGTCTATTGTTTTAGGCTGAATTTTAATATATCGAAATTGGTCTATTCCCTTCCTGTTACAATCGCTTCATTGTCAAGTTTTCCCAATTTGAAGAAAAAACTGCAAGAGTTTTTAATTAAATAATTATTGAACTGGCAAAGCCGCACACTGTTGCACTATTTATGTAACCGTATTGTTACGTACAAGGTGGCCTCAACTAAAAGCCTGATGGTTTCTAGAGGTCAACTTGCCTCGCATCGAAATATTTATAAATACTTTAAAAAGGCAAAATAAACAGAATGAATGAACGAACGAGACCAGTGCTCTGTTTCTCGAAAGCCCCGGAAACTTTTCGGGCCCGCAAAGCCATTTTTAGTTAACCTGTTGAATGCGCCTGAAACCTCTTGCATGAAGAAAACCTCTGTTCATATTAAGAATATGTGAATAAAACAGCTCTGTAATCATAAGGTCTGAGATTTTACTACGGCTTTCCGGGTGAGAAAACTTTTCGGGACCTTTGAGAAACGGGCCCCACGGTTGAGACATGACACTGCTTGAGATGCGTAACGGCTTGATAGAATTTGCATTATTTTCTCGTCAGTGTATCTCCATAACTTTGAGGGTGCAGTAAAACAGGATCCCATGACCCCATGACTCCTGAACAAAGCTATCATTTTCACAGATAATGTTTCAGTCGAATTCTTGTCTTGTAGGCATAAATTTACTTCAGCTATAATAAATCACGGTGTCCGAGATCTTTGTCCGAAACTTACCCGAAATGAGACAAAAGAGTGTCCAAAAATCAAACGTCCGAAATTTTTTGCAAGACAAGTGGAAGTTCTATCAGGTTTTGCCTATACAAAAATATGAAAGAGAAAAAAACACCCAAGACAGAAAAAAAACCTGTGTTTCTAGTTCCGGTGTTTCTCGGATAATTCCCAAAGGTATGTAGTTCCCAGGGCCCTATAAATTACTATTGGATAATTGGATAATCAATACCCTGGCCCGGGTTGTCCTAAAGCCAGTTAACGCTAACCCGTGGTTAAAAGTTAACCGAAGTATTAATTTTTCTTGTGTAATTTTTTTTTTTCACAGCTTGTGTTTTGTATAGATTTAGATTATTCAGATTCAAAACTGAAGGACAAGCAACATAAACATAAAAGTCAAAACCTCATCGAAATGTCAAAACTCAAATCAAAATCCTCGCTAATCCTGGGTTAGCTTAATCGGACTTTGAACAACCCTGCTTGGTCTTGTAAACTGGACTTTGCTTGATAGTAGCATTCGTAAAACCCTCCATCAACTAGAGGGGCGGATCCAGGATTTTTCTTTGGAGGGGGTGCAACACTAGGGAATTGCGTAACTGACTGGTGAGGTAAACAAATTTTAGAAGCGAAGACGAAGAAAAAGACTTCATCTCAGGGGGGGGGGGGGGGGGGGGGGCACCCTCCCGCTAGATCCGCTCCTGAACGGAATGAACAGTCACCTTGTTTTTTTCCTTTTCGGAAAGAACTTAGAAAGACTGAACTTACGTAACCTGAACGCTCTAGATCGAATTCGGCTTTTAGCTAGCTCAGATGGCCTTTGCATTGATTAATAATAGTGGGGTCTCGTTGAATCTTTATGAAATTATATATCTGATCTTACTTGTCATAGATTTTTACGATTTTACTTCTCCGTTTTCTCCTTATTTTAGATATATCTACAATCAAGACAGTACTTGACCCAGGTTTGACCACGTTTCCAAACACCTCAAAGTTCGTCAAAAATACTCCGCTACATGTCATACTGTATTTTCAACTCTTTTCTCTGTTCTAGGTGTTTCGAAGTGTGGTGAAGCACGGTCTTTCGCGTTTGATATAAATTTCAGTCACGATTTTAGCTGCAAGGTAGGAGGGTCTGAATGGGGGTACCTCGATAACACTAAACACTTAAATTTTTGGCTCTGTAACACAGAACAATTAAATTTTAGGCATTTAGACACAACAGTAAAAAATTCTCTGTAACCGTAAATTTTATCCAGAAGGAAACAAAAACGGCTCCTAAAAGGGCAACGTTATTTTGTTCAGTATAACAAGAAGTTTTCGGCCACTTTCCGACGATTCCCGATCTTTTAGGAAGATTTCCGAAGATTCCCGAAGACAGCAGAAGATTTCCGAAGACTACCGAAGATATACAGAGACTACCAAAGGTAGACGTAGACTACTCGTCAAGCCCAAGAAATTCCCTCGGATGTTTCTTGACGGCTGCCACGCTGGATAGCTTCGAAAGGTCGAAAGTGACCCTGCTTCTATGCCTTTCGAAACCAGAATTCTCTCCGCTTCTATAGAAGCTCACTAGAACTTTGACAACATCGGAGGAGAATCCACTCGATGTCGATGCCTCCATCGCCGCCAACACAGCGGTCAAACGTCTGCGCATGTGCGAGCTATGGGGCAACTAAAGGCGGCCAAAATATTTTCATAACCTTGTTCTTTTCGTGGGTCATCGG